TCTCTCACCTCCAATTCTGCAAGAACTGGGAGATCTGACTTCTTTCAGTGGGCTTTTAAACTCAATTATGGCACCTGATCGATTCTGCTGCGGTCATCTGTCTCCTATTCCTAGATTCTGCCACTCTTGAGGGCAGAGACTGTTGTTTCTTTTCTTTTTTTTCATCACCAGCAACAAATCTGCTCAGTGTTTGAAACAGACAAGAGGTCAGGAAGATCTGTGAAATTCAAGTAACGTGTGCAATTTGAGGTTGTTGCTAGCCATAGGAGTGAGAGCTTCACAGCACACAGCTTTGTCTTTCCCCTCCATGCAGAAACAAATCAACTTCTCCCTGAATAAATAGCTATTCCTGGGAAGCTGAAACACATAATGGAGTCCATCAAAGAGTAAGAATATTTTCTATTCATTTAATTATTTTACCTTCTAAACTTGTAATTTTCTTTTTCAATAAATTACTTATTTCTATATTACAAGTACACTTTTATTTCTTTCACTTTCGACTATTCTAATTTGACACTCTGGATTTAATATTTTTCTATAACTAGATAGGTTGTTTTTAATCAAAAATCCCTATGCACCTGTGACATTTCCACACAGTTTGCTGCTAACAGGAAGATTGCAAAGTTGACTAAGACAGGGAATTGGCTTTGAGAAGTTCACAGTTTACTGGAGACAGACTAGTCAAAAGGTATTTACCTTAATGGCCCAGGACCTATAGGATAGGTACGAAAAACGAGATGAACATAAAGAAATGAAATTAGTTCAGAATGACTTGCAACTTGATGAATAGAATGAATGGCAAAACAGGTCACTTGACTCTTACGTCTACTCCTACTTCTAGATCCTTAATTGGCTTCATTAGTGAGTACCACTCACAACCTTGTCACCACACATCATTCTAAACACATGTATAAAAATCTCTCAGCACCAGCCCTCTACAAATGAGCTGAAACTGTACTATTCTACAGATGGAGAGACCAAGAAGAGGAAGGCTCAAGCAGCCTCTCAAGGGTAAATCGTTACGAGCTGTGGAGCTGGGCTCACATTTTGAAGACTGGCTCCAAAGCCTCAGCTCCTAAACATTCTGTTACGGTGGCTCCTCGGTTAGAAGCAAGTTTTCTACATTCCGAATTTGCTCCTGTTATTTCATATCATCTTTTGAGAGAAATCTGAACAAGTCTTAGAAAGACAAATGCTCTCTAGAACACTTCTCGATGTCTTCCTCATGGTGCTGAATTTCTATCTGTGTGGTTTACAACCCCACGCTCCAAGAATAAGACATGGCTTGTGCCTCTCCCACATTCCACAGAGCAGGACAATGGCATTGCCTTTATGAATGTAGATTTGTTAAGTGGTAAAACAGAAAGGATGCAGTGTACAGAAAATTAACAACTGGCTCTGTACTCCCTTGCCTTGGCCCAAGTATCATAGAGCAAGTGATTCTGGTGTGCTCTAGGCATAACCTGTGTAAGATCATTCCCAAATTCCATGAACTACATTCCTGAATACCATTTAAATAAGGAATATTTGTGACTTTAAAATAACTTTTTCAATGTAATCGATGAGGTTGTTGAAGTAAAATAATAGCTTTACTATAATATTCTCATTTATCTGTGTAGTAAATATTTTCCCATTCTATGTCTTTCTATAAACGTGCTAAATACAGAGAGTTAAAGAACCGATTAAGACATGATCTTGAATAAGAGTACAAAATTCCTGGAGAGTAAAAATCTACTATAAACAAAGTCAAAAGAAAGCCAATAAATTAAAGAAACAGTATTATTGTTTGAGTCACAGCTATGTTTTGGGTCTACAATGTCCTGTGAGGACCCACACATGGAAGGCTCAGTCCTCTGGGTGGCGCTATAGCAAGGAGGTGGAGTTTTTAAGAGGTGGGGCCTAGGGCTAGTCTTCTGGCTGGCAAGATCGGTGAAATTCCAGTCTCTTCCTCTTTCTCTCCTTTGCTTCCTGCTTTGCACAGCCTCAAGTTGTGCTGTGTTCTTTCCCACTTCTGCCCCAAAGCAATGAAGCCCCAAATCATGGGCTGAAACCTTTAAAACCGTGAGCCAAAGTACATCTTATTTCTTTATAAGTTGGTTTTCTCCGGTAATTGTTATAGCTAGGGAACACTGACTGACACACACACATATAAATGGCTAGAGGGAAATTTTCATGATATATAAAATGGCTTTGTCAATCAGCTAGAACAAGGTGTGAAGTGCAGTAAAAATGGCAGGGATTTGAAAACAATAAATATTGAGAAGTATGTTCTGACTCATAATGAAGAGCATAAACAGATCCCACTGTCCTCCGGAAGACAGGTAAAAATAGTAATTTTCTCTGTACTTCCCACAATTAGCGTGAAGAGGGCGACAGGCCCCCCTGTGCCGTGTTCATGGCATCACCAAAGTACGCAGCAGCGACACCCTGGCTCGGGTGGTTTCTCCTTGCTCCGTTGGGGCAGTGGAGCAGGGTTTGAAGGCAGCACACATCTTGGGAGCCAAGGTCTTTCCCTGGATATTCTGCCACATTTCTTTGAGACAGGCAGTGCCACTCTCCCCTTACCGAAACCGAAACTCTCCGTATCAAATGCTAAGTGTAGGACACATGTAGGATGCATTTATGTGTTCAGTAAGAGATGAACATTGCCAATTCCATATTTTCCTCTGTGCGTTTTCTTGTCCTATCTTTTACAGGCCATCATCTCCCTCAAACTCTTCCTTCTCCACTGTCTATTTCACCACATAGTGATCTCCCTCTCTTAACCTCAGAAAAACTACAACTTATATTCAGCCAGCCATTCTTATATGGCTCTATCCTTCGTTTCGCATATTATATTTTCCCAGCTGAATGCTAAAAGGAAAAGCATTGGAGTCTGGTAGCTGGCATGATCATCCTATAACTCTTCTTTGCTCACGTGGCTGTTTCAATAGTACAGAGTACCCTAAATGTTGCACAGATACGTTTCTTTGGTGGAACAGTAGTTGGAGCTTCCCTCAACAGAAAACAATGGAGAAGACAGTAAGGAGGCGATGGGATTTACTCAGGACCATAACTAAAGCTCAGGCGACTAGCCATTTAGGCAAGTGTTTGCCATCTTCTCATTATAGGGCATTCCTTATGCTGATCAACTCAAATCTCAAGGTCATTCTTTTCTCAAAGTCTTCACTGCCAAATGCATGGATTCCTTCTCCACACAGAACTTCAACATCCCTGCTATCCACTTCCCAAATCTGACCTCACAAGGAGCAGATTTACATGCTTAACCCCAGGACTATTAACTCACTCTCCATTTTATTCTTTTACTTTATCATACCACCTTGCTCCATGAACCAAGGGATAGCACGCTCGTTGTTATACACTAATGGTTAACAATACTGAATGGAGAGTTAGGCTGACATCTTCCCCTGGGGACTTCCTGGCAGTGTAATGCTGCACAAGCTAGGTAACTGCTGAGAGCTAATGCCCCACCGCATTTCTGCACCTCTTGTATCAAGGTTTGCTTTCCAGTTCATTTTTACTGATTGACTGATCAACTGATGGATTGTGCTGGAGATTATATCCAGGATCTTATCCATGTTGGGCAAGTGCTCTACCACTAAGCCCTTATTCTGCACGTATTTTTGAGGATGCTGGGATAGTCGGCAGCTTCAGGAAATAGATAGCAGCTCCCTGACTTGAATAGAGAGCAGATCTGTTTCCTGACCAAGACGACAGTGGTTGTGTATCATTCCAAGGTAAGTGCGTTCCCGCTGACAAGTCCCTTTTGAGATCGAGGGTCTGTGAAGCATAGGGTTCTTCACCAATGAGACAAGCAGATTCTCTGAAGCATTCGCCATCTCTGAAGCATTCACCAGGCCACGCTCTCTCACACCAATGGAACAGCAAGGTAAAGGGGACATGAAGCTCATAGCACCTACTCGTCCCTGAGTAATAAATCACATGTTTCTGACCCAGGATTTTTGTGTCCTCTGCTAGCATCTTTCACTCTGTGTAGCAGGCTAACTTGTCAGCTGGCAAGAAAAGCAAAAATCTTAAAAGCTTCATACTCTTGATCACAACCTCGGCAGGCCTCAGTTTCCCCACATGTCCAATGAAGAGCAGGTCCCTAGCGCAGGGGAATGAGTGGGTGCAATCTGCAGGACATAAGGCCTGCTCCCCCGTGGCTGCACGCTTTCCACAGAGGCTCTTCCGCAGCCCCATCCGGACCGGCCACCACACACCACCGCCACCGGAGACCATCCTCTTTTTCATCACATCTCGGCTCCCAGGCTTGGCTCTGGGAACGCTAGTTTTCTCCCTACATTTTGGTCCCTCACTATTTCCTTCCTGTAGTAACACACACAGAAACAAACTAAACAAAGGAGAGCATTTTGTGGATGCCACGAAAACAGGAGAAGAGAAAGTCAGTAATAAGAAGGACGAGGTGGAGAGAGTGGTGGCATCTTTACAGGATGGAGAAAAGAGTTATAAGGAAAGTAAAAAATGTCAACCACCACTTAACTACATAGATGGTCATCGTGTATCATTCTCCTTAATGAAAACTGTCCAAACAAGTGAAACAAAAACAGAAGAAATGTGGCTCTAACTTATGTAGCTCAATGACCCCTAAAACACAGTGCAAATGTTGGAAAGAAGGCACACTAGCAATGAGCAGGTCCCAGGGAATCCCAGCTCCAGCTTCTAGCATTTGTGAGAGCTTAGCCTCACCAAGCCTGAGTTTATTCACCTCCCAAACAGTGTAAGATGAACCCTCATCACTCAATAAATTATTAAACTATTGCAGGATGACCAGAAAAATTACTCCTTCAGACAAAAAAACAGGGATGTTTATAGCCACTTCTTTTACAACGCTAAGATTTTGTAACTTGCACCCCACAGTTTTCAAATCCAGCATTACAGAATTTGAACTCTGACTTCATTCCATGCTGAAAACACCTTGGAGTCAGACTTACCTCGTTCAGTCTCATATAAATACTTACTCGACTGGATAAACGTACCTGTAACAAGAAATCGAAGAGCGCCACCTTGGACCACTCGTGGTGGTGGATTTCTGTGCAGCCCCACTCGGGTCTGGGCACCCGGCCGTGCAGCCAGCACTTCTGTCTCAGTGAGTGCTGATAGGCTCCCCAGGTGAGCTGAACCGATGAATGGGTATCATTACTCGCTGGAGCCAGAGATGAGTCCCAGAGAACCAGGGGATGTGGGCGGCCATCTGCGGAATCAAAACAAGCTCGCTCTCAGTATGCTGTGCATGGACCGGATGTGCCCTCAGACCTCACACTCTTTCCAGCCTTGCTCACCTGTTCAATGACAGAGATGGAGCAGACCCTATTGCAGGGTCTCTCTGTCTTCTGAAGCGTGAATATTTTTATACCTCCATGATGCCTCCCATTATGAATCTCACAAAGTGGAAAGTTATTGTTAGACAGTGGAAAAATTTTAAACAAGCTACTTCATAGATGTGGCAGGAATAGGTTACTAACCACCAATAACAACATTCTCTGCTAAAGTGGTTTTACTCCACATCTAAAAGGAGCCACCACAAAAAAGGAAAGAACTTAGACATTTATAATTGTCTATTTAATGTCTGAGTGGAGCTGCTCTATTTGTAATAACAACTGTCTGATTTTCTGAGGCCATATTATGATGCCAGGAAGAAAGAGAATTTTTAGAAGTTACAAATTTCGAAGTAAAATTGCATGGTTTATACTGATCACTATAATCTCCAAAGAATTTTTAAATTTTTTTATAGAAACTGTGCATGCCCAGCAGTGCTCTTGGTAATGGATCATTTATCCACACACAAAATCGCCGAGTATATGCAGCCATGCGTCTGCATGGATGACGCTTTTCCCTCAGCTTGTTTGTGTCTCGCTCACTCCTGATAAGTTAGAAATGCAAATTCTTTCATTGCTAAACTGAGTAAAAATGACAAGCCACGCGAAGTCATCTTAAAAACAGGAAAGACCAGATAAGACACATTGAACAGCACTTCAGTCTGACACAGCATTTACTTCTGCCAAATAAAGTTACAGAGAGATGAGGCTGAGGAACTTGCTTACAACTCAGAAGTCAGTAAGATGCTGTGAGAGAAAAAGGTGCACCAATCTCTGTCCTTACAGGCCCAAACAGCAGAGGTCACGGAAATTATGGCTGGAATGCCCAGACATGTCTCAAGCATTTTTAAATCCCTTTTAAATAGACTCAAATGTTCTCAACCTTTAACTTTCTTCACCTTGCTATGAACTTTTATCACCATCTTTGTTACTTGTTTTTTGTGGAGTTCTCTATAGAAAAGTCATCTTCTTAAATGTTTTGGAAGGTGGTAGTGCCCTCACTTTAATGATTTTAACAGCATTCACTTAATTATTTTAATCACCGCATTTCAGAAAAACTGCTTTCTCTTTTGCCTGGGAAGTTAGGTCAGGGAATGCAGAGTCCTTCGCACTACACAAAATATTGACAGGCAATGACGAGAGAAAGAGGAGGAAACATGAGCTGTCACTGGAGAATTTTGTTTGTAGCATCACCTCTTTCCTTTCTACTGCCTTTCACCTTACTAAATGACTTGGGGCCGTGAAGACCTCATCATTTCCTTGGATATACGATCATGTTGAACATTTATACCTGAAATACTGTGCCAGTTAAATAAAGAGGGAATAAATTTCAAGCAAAGCCAGACTATCCCAGGCAGAAGACAGGTTGGGGCAAGTGTGACCAGATAGGAACAGGAGCACGCCTCGGGTTTCAAAGGCCCACACCACACACATTTGAGAAAGACCACCAGGAAGCTCTGTGCATCAGAGTCTGCTCTGCGCGTCAGGCACCGAGAGCACTTTGCATCCCCAGGGAGAGGGAATGAAAGGATCTGAAAGCTAACCTGAATCCCAACTACACAAATCAGTGCTCCGGCCTGCACAACAATTCACACAGAGCTCTCTCAGAACAAAGAACTGCTCTACATAAACAACCGGAACCTTCTGGCCTCTCTCCCCCTCTGCCCCTTGTAAAAGCAAATTGCTTCTTTAGGAAACATGAGAAAAATGTATAGCTAAGAAAACCAAACTCAGCTATAACCCATAATTCCTTCTGCTGCTTACATATTTACCTCCATTGTATTTCGCATAACTTTTATTCTCACTGGAATATATAAATGGATTCCCACAATTTAAAAAATGAGAACTGCATAGCTTGTGGTGAAAGCCCAGACTGGAATAATCCCAGATCTTCTGAAAACCAGTCATCAACTTCTTAGCCTTGTGATGGCAGAACAGTTCTACAACCTCTTGAAGTCTTGTTTTCCTCTTACACAAGATGAGGTCGATAGAGTCCCTTCATATACTGTTAGGATCGAATGAAATTACGCACACTGAAAATTTACTCTATGCATTTTTATCATTTCTTCATGGTGAAAATATTCAGAACCCTTTCGTCTAACTTTCTGAAATATACGTGTATGTAATTGTTAGCTGTAGTCACCTACCATGTAATGGTAGATGTGGCAGATTGTTTAATGTGATTTAAGCATTACACAACGTATACATGTATTAAAACATCATATGGTACTCCAATAATATGTCAAATTTTCATGTTTGATTTATCTGTTAATTAAAGACAGGAAAAAATAAAAACATAATTCTCAACTTGGTGTCTAACACAGATGCATCTCCCAGAAATGTTTTCTAATGACTAAATAATATATATAATACAATCTTGTAACTCATCAGTCTACAACTGACCGTTTCTGTTTATTAAGCAATTACTTCATGTCAAGCACTGCTCTAGAGCCTCAGGCTAAATGCATAAATAAATAAATGTCAAGTACCTTTGATTTCATGAGCTTACATTTCTACTAGGGAAAATAAAAATTAAGCAAAGAAATATTTTGGGATCATCTTGCATTTATCGATCATCATGACCACTTCACTAAGTACTGTATCATAAATACCGATCTGATGACCAAGTACTTCTGTGATTTGGAGGCAGTCACCCAGCCAACCTCTCAGAGGACAATTGGGGCTATTTTAGACCTTGAGGACCAGGCAGTCTGCATGTGCAGCTGTTCCTCTCTCTCCCTGCTCACCTTCACGTCACTATGGCACAAAAGCAGTCATAGATCAATACGAGGAACTGATCGGGATTATTCCAATACAATTTATTACGATCACTGAAGTTGGAACTTCATATGATTTTCAAGTGTCATGCTAATTGTGAAAACATTCCTAGTTTACAAAACAAAAATAGGGTTGGGCCATCTTGGCTAGTTTCGAGCCTCTGAGCTTACTGGATTTCCTTTGCCATTTCTCTGCTTTAAACCATCAATTCTCTCACCATGGTCAGCAAGGCTGCCCAGCTCGGCGCGGGGGAGCTATCACCCCGAGAATTCCACTTCCTCTAAAGCATGGCTTTTCAAAGAACTAAATGAACTTTGACAGATCTGAAGTGATGACAGAAAAATAGCCTCTAAAAATGGGCACCTGGTTAAAGCAACTTCCCCTGAAGTGTTTCGGGCCAAGATGCATTCATCTCTTTGCATTCGAGTTTGTCAAAATGATGCAGTGCTGTGCTCTCCAGGGAGATTTCAACGGCGAAGAGATAAAATTCTAACTGTCAGAGCAGTGAGAAAGCAGGTTTTAAAAGATCCGTGGGTGTTCTTGTGAATTAAAGGTTACACAGCTGTCTTAAAAAATGAGGCTTGCCAGGGAGACTTTTTTTCTTTCTGGTATCTGAATATCTCCCCTGAATTTTGATTTCCCAAGTTGTTTTCTATTCACAAGCAAAAAGAAGATGTTCTTCTGAAAAGATGGACGTGGAAACTAACCGGGAAGAAATGAGCCTCACAATCTTCTTTGCCAGGTGTATGAAACGCACTTCGCTCTGCCAAGCTGCAGGTGAAGGCTGAGCACATTCGGGGAAGCTGTGAATGTCTGTCCATCCACATCCATCCCTGAGCCACAGTAGCTTAAAATGTCCTGAGCTCAGAATCCCAAGTCCTTTCCATCGCATGCACCAAGTTCCAAGAATCTTGGTGAACAAGACAAAAGGGAAGTGACAGTCAGGACCCATTACACAAAACCACGGCCAGTCAGAACCTGTGAGCAACCCTGTGGCGGGAAACGGATGGAGCCGGGCTCTGTCACAACTGCCAACATTGTCAGGAGGGACACCTTAATGCTGTGTTCCCCTCGCGGTATACAAGGCGGACTGATGTGGTCACCACCCAGTGATCCTGCAGCAGGAGCCATGGTGTTGGTCATAACTTAAGTACCATCAGCTCTATTTTTCTACAGCACTTATCAGAGGAGGATTTTGCAGTTGAGAAATATTAGACTGAAGTGAAAAAGCACATGCTCTCTTGGCCTGAAGCTGGTGAAGGTGAGAAACTTTAACAAGCATGAGAGAGGTCAGATCAGGAATGCAAGACTTGTGACAGCCGTAGGGGAGGAGTGGGTTTTACATAAGCACAGGATTTACAAGTATTTACGGATGGCCCCTGCTCACTGCAACATAATTCACAACTTCTGGGCTGTGGAAGGAAGCGAGGTGACCATCGTCAGATGAATGGGTAAAAAATAAGTATTTAATGGGATCCTATTCAACCATTCAAAAGGGTGATTCTGTCACTTACAACAACATGGGTGAAACTGGAGAATGCAATGCTAGGTGAAGTAAAAAGCCAGGCTCGGGAAAACACATGCTGCATGGTCTTACTTCTCTGTGGAATCTAAAGAACCTGAACTCAGAACTGGAGAACAGAGTGACCATTACAAGTGTCTGGGAAAGGTGGACAGACAGGGAAAGGGGAGATGCTGATCCAAAGGTTCATAGGTAGAGTCCGGAAGAGCGAGCTTGGGCCAGGGATTTGGCTCAGCGGCACAGCGCCTACCTCACAAGCACAAGGTCCTGAGTTCGATCCTCAGTACCAATAAAAAAAAAAAACAAACAAACAGGAAGAAGGAGCTTCAGTGATCCGTTGCACAGAATGATGACAATAAGGACAGGTGCACTGTGCATTTCAAAAGTGACCAGAGAGAATCTAAACACTGCTGCCCAAAACAATGCTGTGTGTGGTGCTCCAGACTCACTTAGCCTGATTAATCACATCACATTATAAACGTACATTAAAATCTCACAATTTGTGCTCCATAAACATATACAATTATTATCAATTAAAAATAAGATTATTCTAAAAACAACAGAAAAAAAAAGATT